GACGACGGCGGCAAGGGTACGAAGGACCAAAACACAATTTCTCTCTCTCACACACTCTCTCTCTCTTTCTCTCTCTTTGGAATTCCTCTCTCTTTTCTCTTTTTTAAATCTCATTTTCCTCTTTTTTTTTACAACAAACTAACTAGAGAGATGAAACGGCTTAGAGACAGTTGTATATTCTCTGATAAAGAGAGAAAGAGGTATGGTTGTTTGGGTGAACGTTGGAGCTGGAATGGACTATAGTTGCTGCAGGTTTAGGTGGGGACGATTGTAATGGTCGGCTGGGAGTTTTAGTGGGCTCCTGTGGAGTGAAAGTCGCTGTTGGGCTGGGTGAGGAGAAGGGATGGTGCTAGTGAGGTGTTGAGAAATGTGAGGGATCTGCTGGTTTGTGTTTGGAGAAATGGTGTCTTGAGTGTTCAACTTGGAGTGCTTGTATAGGGGACTGCAATTGACTGCAATGGCAGGCGGAAGCTGCTGGTTGGGTGAGAAATAGGAAATAGGAAATAGGAAGAGGGCTGCTGGGTTTGTGTGGTTGGAGGTGGAATGGGCTGAATTAGGTGCTCAGGATGTTAAGGGGAAGAGGTGTTTAGTGGGCTGTTTGTGGGTTGTATGTGGTTGCAAATGTTGAGTGTTGGGCCGCTGTAGTTAGTGAGAGGTCTGTGAGGGCTATCGGATTGGGGAAGAAGAGATGGAGAAGTCTACTGTTTGGGTTTTGTGAGTGCAGCTTCAGGTAGAGGAGTTTACAGGCTTTTGTGGTTTGAGGGAGTAGATGGGGAGGAGAACTAGTGGGCTCACTGTATAGGAAGTTGGAGGTTGAAGGTTGACTTTTTTTTTTTGACAAAACCTACAATGGGGCCTACACATTAATAATAAAAAAGAATACAAGACCTTAAAGGATCAAGAGCTCTCTAGAAATATATGATTGGAATAAAAAACTAATGAGCCTATGATCCAAACTATTAAAATAATAAAGAAAATTAAAACCACGGAGGAAAGAATCAACAACCCAATTCAGAAAAGCAACGAGGCACCAGCACCCAAAGCCAATCAACAAAGAGCTAAAAGATGAAATGCCAAAAGTATAGCCCACAGCCCGGAGAGAGCCACCAATAGCGAACTCCCTGCAAGCAATTAGAAAAATAGTAAGGCGATAAAACAAGGAAAACAACTCCAAGGGAAAATGCAAAGAATCAACAACAATAGCCCACCAAACCACAACAAACCAAGCCAAATAGCCAACCCGATAAACAACTAGCAGTAACCCACCAAATATCTCAACCAACACCCCACAAAACACAGCAACCGTAGGAGTACACAAATCACCATTAGCAGCAGAATTTAGAAGGAATTTTAGATCTCGTAGGTCTACCTTCAGAAAGCTTCAAATCTTGCACTATATATTTATTTTTCTTGTCAACAACTTTGACAAAATCATCATTACCAACTTGCATCACATTCATATCATAATCCTCAGTTTGGTGACTGGCTTGGTTGGGGTAAGGTTGGCTTGATGTTGCAGTATAGATGGCTATAGGGCTGTTTGGAGGGCTTTGTAGGAAGCTGTTAGGCGGGCCCATCCGGTCCTTACTTACTCTAGGCGGGCCCCACATGGAGTTAATTCAAGGGTTGGAGGGAAAATTTGAATGGAAAGGG